GGAGCCGGACGGTCCACTCACCAATCTGCTGTGGACACGGACGGTGTGATTCTACTAATGGCTCTGTAGTGTGCGATCCACTCGGCACTCTTCAAAGCTGCAGCGAGACTTGTTCCCCTGCCTCCTGCCAGGAGATGCGAGCGGATCGCGCACAGCAGAGCCATTCATAGAATCATGCCTTCCGCGTCCATGGCAGATCGGTGAGCGAACCATCCAGCCCCATGGGACTGGACCCTCATTAACGTCACCTGTGTGGAGATATTTATTTATTTATTTATTTATTTATTTATTTGTTTGTTTGTTTATTTATTTATTTATTTATTGTATTTATACGCCGCCTATCTAGTCATTTCGACCACTCTGGAGCTGCGTTTTCATTTGTTGTTGTTTTCTTTGGAGATGAATTAATTCTAAACAACACATTTCCAAGATGGCAAGACTCAAGAAGAGCCCCATCTCTAGCCATGATGTGAGAGGTCAGACAGTTTTCTTGACTTTATTTTTAGAGTTAAAATTAGTGGGTAAAGTTAACTCTTACCCAAGACTGCTCCCTGATTTAAAAAACCAAGTGTACTAACCTTCGTGGGATAGCTATGGATAAGAGAAAACAGTTAATTCTTCTAATCTGGGAACCCAGACACTACAAGATCTCTTCATGAAGTTTTGCTGTAATCTAGAACTGATGACCTGAAACTTCAGGGTCAAACATCCTGTTATACTATAGGTTAAGAAGAAAGTTATCATAATGATTAGTTATCTCTAAACCTAATGACCTCTATTTAGCACCAAAAATACTGTTGAAAAAACAACTCTACCTTGTTTTTAGAAAATTTTTGGAGACGAGAAATTATAAAAAAAACTACAACATTACAAGTTTAAGAAACCAAGCTTTTTACATCACGATCAAAGAATTCCTAAAAGGGGGACAAACAAATCAGGATTTTTTTTAACTGCAGCTTTGGAACCTCAGTCTAGATGTTTTGGGCTTCAGCTCTCAAAAGCCATACCCAGAATGGGCAATGGGATAGAACGCTATGTTTCGCAGTGTGGAACATGTGTAAACCATCAGATTAAGGAAATTGTTACTGCATGGCTATCTATCCTACGGAAATCTGTCTTCAACACAAGCTACTACCAAAATGAAAATGTTGTACAGGAGCAGCATCAAATACAGTATATTGCTTTGACTCAACCACTTGCAGACTTACTGCAACACAGTACTATTCTTACGTTATCTCAATTCCAACTTATTGGTCCCCTAACAGAGTTTGCAAAGTACGTCAGATGTTTCAAATGTTTATTACTGTCACCACCAACACTAGTGAGTTTGAATGGCTAAGTGGAGATTTGAATCCCGGCCTTCTAAGTCCTAGTCCACCAGTCTGGACACCATACTGGCTCATAACTATAGTGCAAGTAGTCTGACATTCTCAGCAGTCGTGCAGAGCATCCAAAAACTGATATGGGAGCAAAAGATGCATTTTTACTATGGTGATCACCAACTGCACAAGAGCTATAGTGGACAATCCCACATAACTGCACCAGTAAGTATGCCTTTTGATTAACCTTCAGTTTCTTCTAAACCAGGGATGAGTTTCTTAACATTGGCAGATGTTGATTTCTCTCCTGCCATGTGGGTCTCTTGAGATCACAAACCAGGCAAGTGGGAATCTCAGTACTAATCTAGCAGGCCCTTCAGTCTCAACCAGTCAGCCAATTTTTACCTTTCCATGCAAACGTATCTTACACAGGCCATGGCAAGTTTAGAACATCAATTACACATCCTCTCTAAAACACAGCTCCAATACTGTGGTGGAAAATATATGTGTAATGCACAACCATAACTTTATCAAGTAGACACACCACATTTGCAGGTGTACACATAACACCTTTTAACAGATATACAATATGCAATATCCTGTTGGCATAACTTCACACCTTGTATCCTGTTTCAGGTGGCAGAAACTTTAAATTTACATTACTTAAGAGCTTTCTGTCCCATTATTTTAGGTTCAGGGGGTCTAAGGGACTCCCTTTTGCCCTTAGGAAGCTTTTGGGATGGGAAGCAGCAGCCTTTAAAACTGAACAATTGCTGCCAAATCACACTGTCCCAATCCCTGTAGCAGTGATTTTTTTTAACTTTCAAAGGCACCCCCCCTTCCGCAGATCCCAAGGCTCCCAAAACTTTCCCTGGGCCAAAGAGGAACCTCAGAAACCAAAACAGGGGATAAGAACCTTTTAATTGGTGTAAATTAAATGTTTCCAGAAGACATTCCAGGGTATACTAACATAAAGTTATGCAAAAGGATTTTCCCATTCTATGCACAGTGTATGAAACACCTCAGCTCAATACCAGCATATCCCATGCCAAAGAAGAGGGTAACAGCTCAGTAATAGAGAAGGCACTTGGCATCATAAAAGGCCCCAAGATTTATTCTCCAGCAGCTCCAGGCAGAACTGGGAAAGAATCCATTTGAAAAACCAGACGGTGAGGACTAGTCAACATGGACAATGCAGAGTTAGACGCATTAGTGGTCAGAATAAATATATGGCATCTTCCTATATAATGTGTTGTAAGTGTATCTGCGCCTATCCAGTAATGTCATTTGAAGTGCAAGTTATTTTACACCTTTAACTCATTTAACCTAGTCAAACTGTAAAATGGCATCACCATCAAAATAAACAAACACTGCCTTTGTCAGTGGGAGATTAAGAAGCTTAATCTTCCACAGAAGGGATTGTTAGAAGTCTGCTTAATTTAAAAACAGACTATCCAGCAATCTATCCACCAATGTGTGATGGCAAACACACTTCAATAAGTTACCACTAGTACTTCACCAAAATAAGCAGCCCCAGTTTTGAAGAACAGCTTGGATGGAAATTCAGTTTAATTACCACAGTTGAAGGGACCCTAAATAATAAACAATTAAATCAAGAATGTGATTAATTCAGGGTCTAGAGTGGTCCTTCGGACTAGTGCCAGAAATGGTAAATAGAGTCCTTCTCTCAGCTTCCTCCAATTACCGTATGTGACTAATTCTGCTACAAAATAATGCAGGGTAATTTCTCCCAATATGAAGCAATGGATGGGAGAAACTTATGTGAATGGAGAATAACTCCTACAGAAGCAGTTAAAGTTGGAAAAAGTAGAAACATGGCATGTTGTGATCACACAAGTGTAGAAGAGTTCATCTGAGGACACTTGTTAAAAATGTCACCTCCCTCTTTTTGCTACTGACATTTACAGTAAAAGAGGACTATTTACAAAATGTTAAGACTTTTTAAAAAAAATTATCCAAGCCTTTAGCAAAGCTTAGCCCAAGTGTCAAGGCAATTTAACAAGACATTTAGGATACTGTACATCCATCCTTTTCAACCGTATTCTGAATGCATGATCCAACCCAAATGGCACAGAATTAAGTTCACAGTGTTTGTTCTTTTTTCCAGTTCTATAAGATATATATACTTTTGTATCTGGACATTTGTCTTTGCACATATTCTCATATGAAGCTCAGTGTCGTAATTATTTCAATGTTGACAGGGATCTGTGTTCTTCTGACTTTTACTGAAGTTATCACCACTATCCCCAAACCCATTACAAATATTACTTCCTTCCTGGCCGCAGCAACTCACAACCAACACATTTTCAACTCCAGTTCTTTTAATACCTTCCCCATTCTGACTTTCTTCTTAGGGCTTGCTTACAAAGAACTTGGAAGAGGTACATGGCCAAACAATGTCCTTTCCAAAGAATAGGAGGCCTAAAAGCAGACCTCTCCCCATTTAAGATCCATCTATTCAAGACTCATTAACACAACTCTTTGTGTACCTATTTAACCAAAAATAAGCACTCATCACATCACAGTAATTCTTGCCTCTTCAAACTGAAGGAATGGGTGCGGAAACCAACAACTGTGCCAGGTTTTTCCTTCAATCTAAATCAGGACATTAGCAAGGAATCACGTCTCAAAGGTTACATTTCCACGCTGGCAAGGTATCCAAAAGCATCACCTTCGTCGTGATTAAAGGAAAGTTGCACAATTAGCAAGTCTAAGGCACTTTCCACTTTCATCTCTTGGAATCCCCGAACCCAGGATCTCCCCCATGCCCCCCCATCCACCCCCTCCAACACAAAATGGCGACGTGGCCAGTAGGGAGGAAAGAGTAGAAATGAAAGAGTGAAATACCTCCCTGGGAGAAAGAAGAGAAAAGGGAGGGAAATGATTTAAAAGATGAGGACAAAAGTGAATGGTGTGGTTTTTTGTTTTTTTAAACTAAGAGAGAGAATAAAAGGAGGAACAATCAAAGAAAATAACTTCGCACAAGGGAGAAATGAGGTGGGGAGGAGGAAAGTGTAAAGGTCGAGAAAGTAATTATTATGTATAGGATTTTGGAAGAAAATTCCTAGAGGGAGGTAGGAGGGAAGATCTTCCTGTACCCCGAGCCCTTCCCCCCCCCCTTTTTTTGCAAAGCATCTTCACGAAAGCGAGAGGAATAAAATGAAACCCATTTCACCCAACGGGGGTAACAACGCACATTATAGGAAATGGAGAAACCACATCAAGGGGGCCCCGGAGCGGCGGGCGGGAAGGAGAGGGCAGTTTGGGTGTGAGGGAGAATAGGGGGCCCCGGAGCGGCGGGCGGGAAGGAGAAGGCAGTTTGGGTGTGGGGGAGAATAGGATGGTGATGATGATGATCATCATCATCACCCGTTGGCCTGGGTCGGGATGGCGCTTTGGGAGGCTGGGGTAAACAAGGGAAGTGTGGGGAAAGGCAGGTTGGGCCTCCACCCCTCACGCCTCCTTTCCGCTCCTCCGAGAAGACGGGAAATCACAAGGAATTTTCCTCCAAAGTCCCCGTTTTCTTTCCTCTCTCCCCTCCCCCGAAATTCCCCAAACAAAGAAGTCGCAACGCCGGGAAAGGTTTTCCCCAAGGCCGCCCCGGAGACGGACCACGGGGGGAAAAAACCAACCAAGCAACCAAGCCCCGTTTCCTCTCACCTTTTCTTCTCGTTGGAGCCGCCCGTCGCCGGCTCCGAGGTGGCCGTGCCGGGCTCCATCTCGTCTTCGGCGGAGGAGGCCAGCTTGGCTGGCCGGGGGGAGGCTCTCTCACAGGGCGACGGGCTTCGCTAGGGTTCCTGGCAGGGAGGAAGGAAGGAAGGGAGGCGGAGACGAAGCGGGGCCAAAGGATCTTCCCTCAAAGCGGGGCTGGAGTCTCCCACACGAGCTGCAGAAACCTGGCCGGGGCTGGAGGAGGGGGCGTCGGAGGGAGGGACGGAGAAGTCACGCCGGGTGGAGCCCCGAAAGGGCCGGCCCAGGCCTCGCCTTCCCGTCACGAGCGCGGCTCGGGCCAGTGAGAAGCCGGAGGACGGCCCGGCCCCCTTTGCCGCCTCCAACGGCGGAAGCCCGGGCGGCAAGGCAAAGAGGCGGGGGAGAAGGAGGCCTGCCCGCCCCGTGTTCGCTTCACGTGTAGGGCTGTGTGCGGAGCGAGAGGAAGCGGCCCCCATTAAGGCGGTGGAGGCGCCGCCGCCGCCTGGGCCGAGCGGTTTCTCCTCAGCTGTGAGGGGGGGAAAACTCGCGCGCTTTTCCTCACTAGGAAATGAGGTGGGGGTTTGGGTATTCCTGAGGGAAAAGGTGGCCCGTGTGTTCGGATTGGGTGCTGAGGCCTAGTTTTCCCGGCCTAGCCGGCAACGAGAGGGCCTCTGAGCGTGTGCAGAGCGCGCGTTTTCTTCCACACCCCTTTTGGGTCGTCCTCACACACAGAGTCAAAGAGAGGAGTTCTTGGTTTATTGTCGAAGCAGGTCTCTCTGGCTGTGCTTTTGGGGCAGTGCCTTTTCTCCTAGACCCACACGCTAGAGGCTTCCGCATTTCAAAATTATTCTTCTCTCTCACCCCAAAAATAAAATTTAGCCAGACCTCTTAGGAACTGTAAGGATAGAATTTAAAAAAAAAAACAACGACGGATAAAAGCAAAGCCATGTCATAAACAGTATGTTTAGGATGGAGCCCTGCTTCTGGGAGAAAGGTGCATGCCAATAAAGGGGGAACCCATGCTAAAGAAAAGATTATTAAAAAGTAAAAGAAGGCAAAAACGTGGTGGCACCTTAAAAGATTGTTATGTTTTTTTTAAATGTGAGCTTTCGGGGGGAAATCTTTGAAGTGCCACCACGTTTTTGTCTTTTTAAAAACTTTTTGTTTTCACCTATGATGATGACTAACATGGCTACCTCTTCTACAACTAAAGTGTGTTCCCTGTATGCACAGTGTTTTCCCCTTGCCAGTAGGGAAGTATGAGTTGTGTTATAACACATTTGAAAGGAGAGTGGGCAGTACACAGCAAGAAATTGTAACATTTGTTCCCCCCTCCCATTCTTCCTTTTCTAGTAGAGGCACCTTGTTCAGAAGAAAATTATTCCCCACCTACCACTGTAATTTTGTTCATATTTTCCAATAATAGGTCTGAAACATAAACTCGTTTTGTGTTAAAGGTGAACCAGGGTTGATAGTATAAATGCTTGTTACCTCCAAATAAATATGTTGAAGATTGCAGTCTCTGCAGATATTTGGAATAAGGCCCATAGAACTCAGTGAACTGACTGGCAGAGTATGATGAAATGTTTCCAAAGAATCGTAATGAATTTGGAAGGGGCCATTGGGTCCAACCCCCTGCTCAATGCAGGAATCCAAATTAAAGTATATCTGACAGATGGCTGTCCAATTTTCTTTTGAATGCCTCCAGTGTTGGAGCGCTCTTCACCTCCAGAGGTAATTGATTCCATTTTTGTTATGCTCTAACAGGAAATTTCTCATATGCAACTGAAATCTGGTTTCCTATAACTTGAGCCCATTGTTATGTGTTCTGCACTCTGAAATGATCAAGAACAGATCCTGCTCCACTATATTACTATTTTTCAAGTGTTTGAAAAAGTTCTATATCTCTCCTCAGTCTTCTTTTCACAAGGTTAAACATACCCAGTTCTTTCAGTCTTGCTTAAATCCCTGATTATCTTTGTTGCCTTCCTCTGAGCTTATTTCGGTTTGTCAGCATCCTTCTTAAAAGGTGGTGTTCAGAACTGGACACAGTACTGAAATTGAGGCCTAACCAGTGGTGAATAGAGGAGAAATAGTACTTAATTGAAATTGGAAACTACTGTTGTTGCAGCGTAAAATAACATTAAGTCTCAACTCTGATTTATTGAAAGTCTCTGAGATGTCAAGCAGAACTAACAGGGGCACAACCATGTTGTCTAGTGTAGCTTATCTGCAAAGGCAAACAAAGCTATCTTCAGTCCCATAATCACACCTGAGTCCAGACTGAAATGGATTTAAATAACCCCAGGGGATTCCCAACCTTGGGTCCCTAGATGCTTTTGGACTACAACTCCCACAAATCCTGACCAGCACAGCTAGTGGTGAAGCATTCTGAGAGTTTTAGTCCAAAAACATCTGGAGACCCAAGATTAGGAACCACTGAGATAAACTGATGCATCGTACTGTTTGCTCATACTCAGTTTGTGATCTACAACAATTTCAGGATCCTTCTCACTCATAGTATTACTGAGCCAAGAACCATCCATCTTGAAACTGTACATTTGGTTTCTTCTTCCTTGATGTAGAACTTTGCACTTATCCCTGTTAAATTTCATTCTGTTATTTTCAGCTCAGGCCTATCAAGATCTTTCTGAATTTTGTTTCTGTCTTCCAGAGTATTAGCTGTTCTACCCAATTTTGTGTCATCTGCAAATTTTGTTTTCTCTGCACTCCCTCATCCAAGTCAATAATAAAAATGTTGAAGATCACCAGGCCCAGGCCTGAGTCCTTGCAGTACACCACTTGTTACCTCTTCCCAGTTTGAGAAGAAGCCATTGATAAGCACTCTCTGAGTATGATTCTCTAAACAACTGAGGATCCACCTGATAGTTATTCTGTCCAGCCCATACCTAGCTTGCCGATCAGAATACTGTATCATGAGACACTTTGTCAAAGGCTTTGCTTAAGTCACGATCTATTATGCCTACAGCATTCCCATAATCTACCAGGGAGTTTACCTGATCAAAAAGATTAATCTGGCTGGATTTGAACAATATTAGCCCTCCTGCAATCATCTGGCACTTTACCCATCCTCTATGTTTCAAGAAAAATAAAATAATAGACAGTTTTCTGAGATAGTTTAGGTATCCAGGGCCCAAGCCGTTTAGGGCTTTATATGTCAATTTCGTGTTTTCTGCAATTGTATAAGCATTCCCTGCACTTCCTAATCCAAGTCATTAATAAAAATGTTGAAGAGCATCAGGCTCACAACTCCTCCCAGTTTGAAAAGGAGCCATTGATAAGCACCCTCTGAATATGATTATGTAACCAACTGTGAACTCACCTGACAGTTGTTCAATCAGCCCACCCTAGTTGCACTTTCTCAAAAGCTTTGCTGAAGCCAAGATATATTACATCCACAACATTTCCATAATCTACCAGGGAGTTTACCTGATCAAAAAGATTAATCTGGCTGGATTTGGACAATATTAGCCCTCCTGCAATCATCTGGCACTTTACCCATCCTCCATGTTTCAAGAAAAATAAGATAATAGACAGTTTTCTGAGACAGTTTCTTCAGTACTCTTGGATGCAGTTGATTTGAACTGGGGATTTGAACTCATCCGAAGTAATAATGTATTCTTCGACTATCAATCTCAAGCCATAATCCTGCCCCCCTCCATTCATATTTCATGTTTTCACATTTTGCCTTTTTTGTAGCAAACTGAGCTGAAGTAGGAACTGGGCACTTCTGCCTTTTGTCATTTTTGTAATTTTCCCATTCCCACCAAGTAGATGAGCTACTTTAGCCCACCATCAACTTTTGCCTTCCCAATGCCATCCTTGTAGTTCTTTGCTCCCTGTTTGTACTCTTCCTTTGTGGCCTGACCTTCCTTCCACTTCCTATATGTATCCTCTTTTTAAAATGTCTTCTCTGAGCATTTTATGAAGCCACATTGGTCTTTTTTGCTGTCTTCCATCTTTTGTTGTTGTTGGAATACTGTCGTTTGTCATTATACCTTCGGAAGTGTGATCAGAATGAGACTGGGATATAAATTCCCAGAAATATTCTCCTCTTCCAATAGATTAGTGACAGGATTCCCTCAGTCCCATTCTCTCTTCTTCTTTTTTTCTTAAAACATTCACAATAAATTTGGACAATGAGAATGTCTTTGGAGAGTAACAGGCAGCTGCTTATAACAAGCCAATTTATTTTGTCTTTCTAGCCCTATACTATTATCTGTTCTGAATAGCAGTGATTCCAAGGCAGAGACTGAAAAAATTACTTCTGGGAACTATAACTTCCACTAGGCCTGCTGGCTACAGCATTCTAGGAGCTAGTCCCCCTCTGCAGCGGTGTCCCAGTTGAGGACGATAATCCGTTCCCCTGAAATCGCTGTTAAGTGAAATTGTCATCAAGCGGGGGGAAAAACCATTGGAATGCATTGAAAAACCGGCCAATGTGTTCCAGTGGGGAAATACCTCATCATCCAGCGAAGATTGCCCATAGAGAACTGCCGATCAGCTGTTTTAAACCTCTGTCTTCCGAAGCAGGGGTCCAGAAAGCAGCCATTTTGAGAAGGGAGGGAAGCCATTTTACGAAGGGAAGCCATTTTTTCGGAGCCAGAAAAATTGTTTTCAAGCAAAAAAAACAACTCATTGGAACCATCATTTTGCAATCGCAATAGCGATCGAAAAAAAATCATAAAGCGATTTCAACGTCATGCGGGGTAAGCGTCAAGCGGGGCACCACTGTATTCAGCACTAGCTAGGCCTCACCTTGAGTATTGTGTCCAGTTCTGGACGCCCCACTTCAAGAAGGATGCTAATAAATTGGAACAAGTTCAAAGGAGGGCAACAAGGATGATCAGGAGGCTGGAAACCAAGCCTTATGAGAAAAGGCTGAAAGAAGTGGGCATGTTTAGCCTTGAGAAAAGAGGACTGAGGGGTGATATGATAGCACTTTTCAAATATTTGAAAGGCTGTCATACAGGGGAGAGGCAGGATCTGTTCTTAATCATCACAGAGTGCAGGACACGCAACAAAGGGCTCAAGTTAAAGGAAGCCAGGTTTTGGTTGAATATCAGGAAAAACTTCCTAACTGTTAGAGCAGTATAACAGTGAAACCAGTTACCTTGGGAGTTGGTGAGTGCTCCAACATTGGAGGCATTCAAGAAAAACTTGAAGATATGCTTTGATTGTATTCCTGCATTGAGCAGGGGGTTGGACTTGATGGTCATAT